TGAGATGCTCTGGGAGGGGAGCACCAGCCACATCTGGGCAGACCCCACGTGGAAGAAAGGGAGAAGAGATCATCTTCTGGGGGCTGAGGAGCCAGCCTGGGGCACACTTCTCTCTGTGGCCCCCTGTGACCTCTGGGTCTCCCTGGTGGCCACCAAACTTTGCCCAGGGACAGCACTGGTATAACATTGCTGGACCAGCACCCCTGTCCCTCAACACCTGTTTAATTTGCTCCAGTTTTTCTTCCATTTCCTCTTATGTTGTGAAGTTCTGCAAAAATTAGTTTCAAGAATTGAAACAGCAGGGAGAAATCTCAGAGGTCATCCAACCTGTTTCCCCTCCCAGATCACCTCCAGCAGCACAACTCCTCCAGAGGGGTGATGGTATCTCAGGCCAAGCCAGGCCAAGCGATACTCTGCTATCTTAACTTCCTCTAGCTGCCTGCTAGGCTATTCTTTTCTCCTTCTAGAGGAGCAGAGGGAAGCTGGCCAGGCCCTCATCCAAACAACCCTCTTAGCTTAGTAAGCCACCTCTTCTTCTCCAGGCTAAACAATTCCAACACTTTAACCCTTTCCTCTCAGGTCCTATTTTCCAAGCCTTTCATTAATCACCCTGCCCTTCTCTGGGTTTTAGGCTGCAACTCTATAATCATAGAATTTCAGAGCTGCAAGCAACTTGGGATGATTGGGAGAAGCAGAAGTTTCCAACCTTGTTCTGCACAGCTGCCAGAACAGGAAGGAAGCTGGTCAACCCTCTGTCCAGGTGTCCTCCCCATTCTTCCTTGCTCACTTCCCCTGAAGCCATAATTAAACAAAAATTCATGGAGCAGGTCTTACACGTTTGCATGCTTCTTATTTTCCTTAATCCCTCAACAGTCCTGCCAGGGAGCTAGGATCAGTCTCAATTTGCAGGCAAGGAATCTGGCTTAGGGACATGAGGTAGCTATCCAAAATTCATACAGCAAGAAAGTCCCAGGGCTCATCTACCCATGTTCACCCCACATGCTACTTTCACCCTGATTTTGGCTCTGCCACAGACAGCCAGCTCCACAGGGCTTTCGGCAAGGCTCCCCTATCTCCCCAGGAATTGTCCAGGCCCCCAAAAGCCTGAGCTGAGCCATTGTGGGAAACGGTCAGGATTCCATAGAGAAATAGGACCAATAGGATATGCATTTATATGAAGACATTTATTTCCATGAATTGGCTCAGATGATCATAGGGGCTGACAAGTCCCAAATCTGGAAGGTAGGCTGGCATGCTGGAAGCCTGGGCAGGGGATGCTGCTGCAATTTTAAGGCAAAATTTCTTCTTTGGGACCACTTAGGCTTGAACTCTTTGGGGCTTTCAATTGATCAGATGAGGCACACTCACATTATTGAGGGTAATCTCCTTTAGTTAAAGTCAGCTGACTGAAGTTGTTAACCACATTCACCAAATACTCTCCAAGCAACACCTAGATTCATGCTTGATGAGGTCACCAACTCCTACAGTTTAGGTAAGTGACACAGGGAGTGAAAAATCCCAGCCTCCTTTGTGGTGTTGATGTGAAGCCACAGACAGATGTCAGCCTGGTTTGATGGCATTTTCCCAAATACTCAGTTAATGCTGGGAAGGTGCCAAGGAGCGGAACTGTGCACCTCTCCATTAGGAAGCCATCCTAGCTCAGGTTTTGTCCCCAGCCCCAGTCCTGGTCACCATCTTTGGACCAAGAGTTAGGACCAAGTGTGTTCTCAGGGGTAAAAGGCCTAGAGAGAGCCCAGGGCTGCTCTTGGAGCAGGGAGGGAGGACCACTGCTTAAGTTCAGAGGGACCTGGTAGGCTAAAAGCCATTAAGGGTCATGTCTGGCCCACTGGAGATGTACTACAAATGTTTGCTCCTTTCCCTCTCCTGCTCTCCCAGGTGCTATTTGGAACATTCTAGGCAGGTAGAAGTCAATCCTGTTTTTTAACGTACTCCCAAGAAGCATTATGATAGCTGGAAAGTTGTTTCTTAACTTTGAGAGTTCATCTGAATATGTCATCAAAACCCCTCTTATTTCAGGATAAACTGAGTCACACCAGGATAGTAGAGATGAGAAAACTAGATGTTGCACATTCAGTTATTGCTGTGAAACTTTGAACCACTGCAGCCTTCTCACTGCTGCTGTAGCTAGAGGTACTCTAAGAGGACCTGGGTACCAAGGAGTCAAAGGAAGCACTATGCATTAGGGATTTACAGAAATGACTGCCTCTTAACTCATCCTTTGTGGGCCAGAGGCTCTGTTCCTCAACTCCAACAGCACAGTAAACTGTCAGTTCTAGAGTGTTTCAATTAGACCCAAAGAAAGACTGCCTCTAGGAATAGTCCTAAAGCTAGAAGTGAATGGCTAGAATGAAAGAGGTTGTGAAATAATTTTCCTTCTAGGTCCTTTAAAGGATATATAGTTCATTAAACACACACCCACCCACACACACACACACACACACACACACACAAACACACACACACACCTTTCTTGTCCAGAGGCAGAGGGATGGATCAGCTGAGATTCCAGGGAAGGTAGGTGGAGGAGTTTATTCCTTTTAAGGAGTTTCCTCTTTCAGGGGAAGGTGATGGGTGGCAGAGTTGGATGTTGTCAGGCCACCTCAGTAGGTGGGTGGTGCTGCCCTACATGTAGAATCTAGGGAGGGGCTGGGAGGGGATGGCTTCAAAATGCCTCATGAAAGAAATTGGGGAGGAGGCCTGGTGTTGCTGTAGGTGGGTGTGGGAGGAGAGGACTCAGACTCTGTGGGGCTGGCAGGGCACACCTGGTCTGAGAGAACAGAGGGGAAGAAGTCCCTCTGCCTTATGAGGATTCTGCAATGAAAGCCACACCTGCCAGATCTCTTTCCTCCTAACTCTTGAAAGGGATGAGGGAGGGGCTGGTGGCCAAAGCCTGCCATGTCACAGCAAGCAGGCTTTAATCTAGACCAGAGAGAGAACAGGATAAGATGGGAAATGAACAGCTGAGGAGGTTCACAGAATCCCCTCCTCTTTCTTCTTCCTTCCTTCCTTCCAATGCTCTTTAAAATCAAAAGGCCCCTATGCTTCACGGTCTTCCCTCAGCTATTGTGGAGACTCTGGTGGCCTTTGGCGGCTTTGTGACCATTTCCACGTGACACATAGGCTCCAAGCACGAGCAGGAAATGTCCTTTCATTGAACCTGTGCAAGTGGACTGGAGCTGATGAGGGTGGGAGTCCTGCAGATGGGGTTATGTGTGGTCAGGCCTCTCCTTAGGCAGAAGTGATGGAGCTGGAGGGAGGGGCCTGTGGGAGATCAGGAGCTGTCACTTTCCTTCAGCCCATTCTTAGTGTCCCCAAAGACCTTGGTATTGAAGGAGTGAGTGTCCTTGGCTTTTGGTCCAGCTCCAGGGATCTGGCGGGTGCAGAGGTGGTGGTACGAGGGCTTGGTCCAGTCCTGGAACAATTTCTTTGATTTCTTTCTCCAGGAAAGACATTTCAGTCTTTAGGTTCAGGAGATCCTAGGAAACTCTTTCATTAGCTATTTGAAAGGAGGAGCTCCCCAGAGGAGGGACTCATGTCCCAGCACATACAGACTAATGGCTGGTCAACTAGCTTGTCTCTGCCCTTGTTGCCAGGTGCTGTTATTGTAAAGGATTAGCTGTTTATCCTGGTGTGTCACAGGTGGGGGCTGAGCTGGACTTGAGCTCACTCCCCTTTGCATAGCCTTGGACCCGCCACTCCAGCTGCACCCACTGTCTGCTCCACCCACACTAGGTGGTGATGGTGGGAGGTGCTGGTTTCCCATAACCTGGCAGTGGGTTCCACCCTACCAGTGCCCAGGTGGTACATCCTGCAAGGTCCCAGTGTTCCTGCAGAGGGTAAGGGAGAGGAAGAAGTAGAACACTTCTCACTTTTCTTCTGGACCATCTGGATTTATTGGGGTCCCATGCTGCACTGGCCTCTTTTGAGAGGGTGTTATTACCTGTGGTCTGGCCCAGAGAAGGTGGGCAGAATTTTTGAAGTCACACAGCAAAGCTACTGAGAGGGTGAAAAGAGAAAAGAGAGCTGAGGGGAAGAAGAGGTAGAAGTCCCTCTGTCTTATGAGGATTCTGCTGAGAAAGGTGAGAGGCAAGCGTGGCCTCTAAGGATGCAGCCACCTGGCTGGTGTGGCTTGGATCCCTTATTACTTTGTCTCTCTTGGGCCTTAGGGTTCAAGCAGGTTCTGACCTGCTCTGATGAAATACCTAAGGTCTAAGTGCATCTTGTTAGGGGCACTGGACTAGGGAAGATTTTAGAAACCACTTTCTGCTGAGATATTTAGATGGCTCCCTGCCATCTGAGCTGAAGAAGGCACTTAGGAATCCCAAAGGACTTTGGGGTCTAGCTCTGCCCTTTGCCTGAAGCCAAGGAATTGTCTTCTTAGAGCCGCATTTTTCTCATCTGTTAGAAAGGCATGGTCAAACAGACTCCACTATGACTTACATACGCTAGAGGACCTAGGACAGTGCCCAGAAGTCGGCAATAAAATCCAAATCAAACTTAATTTGGAGCTTCCTTTAGAATGAGAAGCAACTGCACCATTCCAGGGTGGAGACTGTCATCTGAAATCCAGGCCCTCCAAGTACAAGGTTATTTGGCTTATGTGACCCAGTTACTAGCCCTCTGTCCCATGGGCCTCTTTGGGTACCTCACCTTCTGCCCTGAGGCCACCACTCATTTGGGCAAAGTATGTCTACCTGTGAGGACAGAGGCTCCCGCTTCTCTGAAGAGAAGCAGCCCAACTGGTTTCTGAGTTGTGGAAAATAATTAAACTAGGGGAGAAAAAACACTTCTTTAAAAAATCAGGTTAGAGATGAATGTGCAGGGCGTGGCCCCCGTATAATTAGTGAGCTGCAGGCTGATGGCAGGGCCTGCCTCTCCCTGGCCCGTTGTGTCAGGCGGGTGCCTGCGCTCCTCCCCTGCTCCTCCTCCCCGCAGGTGTGTCTCCGGGCTCGGACTCTGCAGCTGCCTGTTCACTCCCCGCTCAGACACCCAACAAGTCACCCACCCCGCAGCCCCAGCGAGCCCGAAGCAGACCAGACGAGTGTTCTGCGATGGAAGGTGCAGATACCTCCAGGAGCAACGGGGCCAGCCCAGAAGCCAGGGACGCCCGCAGCCCATCAGGCCCCCACGGTGGCCTGGAGAATGGTACCAAGGCCGAGGGCAAGGACAACAAAACCACCAACGGGCACGGCGGAGAGGCGGCTGAAAGCAAAAGCTTGGGCAGCGCCCTGAAGGCAGGGGAAGGGAAGAGTGCCTTGTTCTCCGGCAACGATTGGCGGCGGCCCATCATCCAGTTCGTAGAGTCTGTGGATGACAAGGGCTCCAACTACTTCAGCATGGACTCCGCGGAAGGCAGGAGGTCGCCCTACGCAGGGCTCCAGCTGGGGGCCAAGAAGCCTCCCGTCACCTTCGCAGAGAAGGGGGAACTGCGCAAGTCCATCTTCTCGGAGCCCCGCAAGGTGTCCATCGTGGAGCCCGGAGAGGCCCGGCGAAACAGCTACCCGCGGGCTGACTCCGGACTCCTGCTGCGGCCCAGGTCCAGCTCCGAGGAGGTGCTGTGCGACTCCTGCATCGGCAACAAGCAAAAGGCGGTCAAGTCCTGCCTGGTGTGCCAGGCCTCCTTCTGCGAGCTGCACCTCAAACCCCACCTGGAGGGTGCCGCCTTCCGCGACCACCAGCTGCTCGAGCCCATCCGTGACTTCGAGGCTCGCAAGTGCCCCCTGCACGGCAAGACCATGGAGCTCTTCTGCCAGACCGACCAGACCTGCATCTGCTACCTCTGTATGTTCCAGGAGCACAAGAACCACAGCACCGTGACGGTAGAAGAGGCCAAGGCTGAGAAGGAGGTGACTTCGGGCCCCACTTCTGCTCTGGGGAGTTCCTTCCTTGCTCTGCCCCTCCAGACTTAGTATTTGCTGACTTTCTGGGGTTTGGGCTTAAATCTCCACTGTGCTTGGCTTTTTTAGAAAATATTCTTTCCCCTCTGGACCCTCAACCTGGAGGTCAGAGGTGATTCCTCAAACCCCTAAAGTCTTGAGAGACAGGCATTTTCTAGATGAGCAAATAGAGGCTCACAAAGGATTGGGGTGCTGACCAAGGCCATAGGATAAATTCAGGTCAGGTCAGAGAGTAAGACCCAAGGGTACCAAACTCAGTCCTAGGTTCTGTCTGCTTGGAGTGTCTCTTTTTCACCCTTCCTTGTCCTCCTCCTCCTCTTTCTTCCTCTTCTTTTTTTTTTTTTTTTTTTTTTTTTTTTTTTTTTTGGTCCGGGGGTGGGACTCGTGGCCTTGCGGTTTTAAAGCAGGGGGCAAAAACCCTTGGTTTAATTTTTTTTTTTTTTTTTTTTTTTAGAGAGAGAATTCTTCCCTTGTGAACTGGACTAGGTCCTGGGGAATGGGTTGTGGGTGAGGGAAACACTGGAAGGAGGACTTGAGGGTCTCTGGAACGTCTCTTTTACTGGCATCTTGGTTTGCACTTGCAGAACACTGGCTGCTTACTTTGTCTGATCCCCAGCCAGTCCCTCCACTCACCTCACCTCCTTTGTTCTCTCGGTGGGCCCAGTGCGCTCTCTGTGTGTGCCTGCAGGTAGACAGGACATGCCTGTGCCTGTGGGGGACAGCAGTGTTGAGCAAGGGAGCGTGTGAGTGGGTGTACACTAGTGTGTGTGCTTCCTATGCGTGTGGGCGTCTACATGGTCGTTGCCTGTTTGTGTATGAGCTGTGTAAGTGGGTCTGCATGAATTCTGTGTATGTGATTATGTGGTATTTCTGTGGGCAGGAGCAGAATCAAGTGGAGGCTTGTGAGGGTGACACACCTGGGGGAGGTGCTCTGAGCTAAGGGCCCAGCTGTGGCCACTGTCTCTTGCCCCACAGATGCTGGGCCCATTCTGTGCACAGCTCCAGAGCTTCTGGTTGCAGAAGGCTATCCTAGGGCCAACCTTCCTGTTGGCCAATGCAGAGGACTTGACTGTCTCAAGAGCTTCTATATCCCGCAGAATGGGTCATTCGCTGCTGGGCATTTCTGACCCAGACCTGTTGGCACACTCTGTGCCTCTTGCCAACTCCCCTGGGCAGGGAGGGATGAGTTACAGATGTGAACAGACTCAATGATCCTTTCCAAAGCTTAATTTGCCCCCCAAATGTGTCTCCAGCTTCTCCTGTCCTCTTAGCCCCAGGTTCATATGGGAAAATACAGAGGGGCAGGGGCCATGGAACCCATGCTTTGGGAACTTAACTTGAGAAGTCAAAATATAAAAAAGAAACAGTCATTTTTGGCCATTGCAGAGCCTCAGACTGGGTTTTAGGCTGTTTCCCCCCACCCACCCCCAATAGCAGTAAGACAGTGGATAAGTGTCTTCCATTCTCAGTATCAGCTTCCCTGAGGGATTGGCTAGATTGTTGGTTCTCAAATATTTTCAAAGAGCCCTAGGATTCTTATAAAAGTCTTTAAAGCAGCCTCAGAGTGAAGAGGGAGTAGGAGCAAAGAGGTAGCCAGGAGGCAGAGGTCCAGGTTCCCACCTCTACTGAAAGCAAAGTGGACTCATTGACCTGTTTCTTACACAAAGTTTGGACCCAGAAGTCAACTGAAACAAGTTTTTATTGAAAAGGTAGTTCTGGTGGGCAGAAGGGTTTGGGCAGCTCCATGTGGAGGCACCAGGAGCTCTGACTTCGTGTTCTGGCTCAGGGACTGCTGTAGGATTCACATAGTCCTTAAGGACTCACAGTGTAGGTCAGGAGGTAGAACTCAGCCAAACAAAACTGGAGAGCACCTTCCCACTTATGTAGAAGCAGCTGTGGGTAAACAACAAGTGACAGAGGATAGAATGCCAGGCCCAATGCAACATTAGCCAGCCCCATTGGTCTGTCTCCTCCTTTACCTTGCAGATAGGGACACAGGCCTAGAAAGAGAGAGGAAGCAGCCCAACATCCTGGTTGAGGAAATGGCTCCCAAAGTCATTTCCTAACATTTGAGAGCACTTCAGGGAAAAGGCATCAAGGGGCAGGATTTGAAATACCTGTGCCTTAGGAAAGATGCCTGATCCACTGGAGTGACTGTAATGATGTCGCTCTGGGCAGCCTGTGTGTGTGTGTGTGTGTGTGTGTGTGTGTGTGTGTGTGTGGTGTGCCTGTAGAATAGAGAAAGGCAAGGAAGAGCAGAGCTGAGAAGCCAGGAGTCTGACTGAAGTACTCTGTCTAGGCCCATTCTGCTGGAATATTGGACAGGGCAACATTGGTACAAAGCCAGGATAGTGGGCTGATGGACCAGAATGAGAGCATGTGTCAATCCTGGCATCCTCTGGATGCATCTTCTGCAGACCCAAACATCATCCCACATACAGGTTTGTGCAAAGAGCCTGGGCAGAACTTGTTCTGCAGGCCTGTTGTGAAGGGCAGGTACAGTGGCTCAGCCTTATCCGAGTGAGTTGGATGAAGTTGCCGGTGGCACTCCTGGCTGTGAGTGCCCATGTCCTGGCCTTGGCTACACCTGCAGACTCTGAGCAGAAGCCACGCTCGAAAATGGTCTCTTGGTTCCTTCCTCCACTGGACCCTAGAGCATAATATTTGTCCTTCCACTTCAAAAGTCATAGGGAGTCCTACAAATGTCCACTGATCAACCTTTGTTTGCCACTAGATGTTCCTGAGGTTAGGTCTTGGCCCTTCCTTCTGTCTATCTCAAGTCCCTCCTGCTGCAGTACACCAGGATTTTAGGATCTCCTCTGGGTGGATGGCTGCCTGTTCTGGGAAGCCCTGTCCTGTTCTGTGTCTGGCATGTGTCTAGGGTCACAGCACCATTGGCATAATAAGGCATGTTCTAGAGAGGCTCAGTGGCAACACCTTGTCTATTCATTTGTCTCAGGTTGAGTCCTTCACCATGCCCCATGGCTTTGTTTATTGTTGCCTATTTCAGGAAGGTTGAGCTTCAGGCTGATGGATGTGTGCAGCCTTGATCTGGAAGCTTCTAGGGGTGCTTCTCTGGGCATAGATGCCCTTTGAGGCAGTGGGATTTCAACTTGGGAAGAGGAGCCAGGCTAAATGGTCAGGGTGGAACCCCTGTCTTGGAGATTTGCAAGGAGAACATCTGCTCTGGGACAAGGAGTGAGACAGGAAGTGGGATGACCCATCCAGTGATGAGGGGACACAATCAAATAAAAGAAGTTTAGAGTCAGGGAGCAGGGGAAGAAAGTGACCAGCAGACAGGTGACAATCCAGTCTGCATGGAGCTGTCTGTGTACCAGGTGCTATCTTGGTGGCATTTGTTAGGTCACAAATGTGGCACTCTTGTGGGAGTGGTATGGGGGTAGCACCACACCTATTCTGTAGAAGGAGAAGCAGGCTCCAAGATGCCAGGAGATTCATACAAGTTACAGTGCTGGGGAATGTTGGAGCTGGGATTGCTTGTCACTGGTTTAAATCTTTTTCAACTTGGGACTGGAAGGTTCTTCTCGGAATTTCCAAGTGTAGTGGCTCCAAAACAGCAGCCTTCAGGCTGAAATCTTTTGATGACTTGTTAAAACAGATTCCCAGGCCTTGCCCTGCCAAGTTTGATTCCCAAGGTTGGGACCTGGGTTCTGTGCAGCCAGGGTGGGAAGCAGAAGTCCAGTCTAGGGTCATCATAGAAAATCAAGGTCCAGGGAGGTGAAGTGACCTTGCCATGGCCTGTGCTGCTCTGGAGAGGCCAGGGTGATGCTTTGTTCGCCCCAGCCTATTCCTTTCCTGACCTGAGGCTATGGGAAAGCAGAGAAAGAGGGGGAATCCAATCAAACAGGCAGACTGATCCTTGGCTGTTTGACATCTGAGTGGAAATGGGGAAATCTACCCAGCATTTCAGATTCTTATCCAGATAATTACCACATATCTGGGAGTACAAATTTGACAATTAACTAGCTCATTTGGCAAATGTCACAGCCCACAGCGCTTGTAGTTAATTCAGGCCCCAGGAAGATCACAGCTGAACTCCCTTTCCCTGGGGGAGGTGCAAGTATGTCCAGGTGAACTCTAGGGTGTTTGTTGTCTGCACCTAAATGCCCAGTCCAGGCCTAGGCACTAGCAGGCTGTGCCACCCCTCTGCTCTCGGGGAAACATCTGCTCACTCAAAGCCCACGCAAAGCCTATCCCAGGTATTGGAGACTGAGACAACTGTGGGAGAAGGAAACAAAAGAAGCATTGAGAGACAGGCCTGGGCAAGGTGAAGGGAAAGAAGTGGGGGTATGAGGAAGTCAGGAGGGAGCCCTGGGTAGGGGTGGGGCTGTGGGGAGCTGAGGCCCGTCAGATATCAGGGACTTCGGTTACATTCCATGGTAGCAGGGAGAACAGGACAGAGAAAGCTGGGGCCTCCGGAGAGAGAATGGAGAGGGAAAGGGAGGCAAAAGAAGTCGTCTGTGCTACAGGAGAGCCGAGAGCTACCACCCTGGAGGTCCTCTGAAGGCCACAGAACAGGACCCGAGCCCTGTCACTGTGTTTTGGCCTTACTTTTTTCTAACCATGAGGACTCTCACAAGCTATATAATCTCTCTAGGCCTTGGTTCTACATCTGTAAAGTGGGGACACCATGCCCGAATTTTGTAGGGGACATTTGCACATTAAAGGAAATTCCTGGCACATTCCTGGCTCAATGATTAAAGTTCCTGTCCTTCCTTCTCCTAGTACAGCCTTTGGAAGCTTCCTGTGTTCTATTACTTCCTGTTCAAGAAAAATTGCCAAAAGCTAAGCAGATACGACATCTACCCCCAGAGGCCTTACTGCAAGCCCCCCTCCCCAACAAGGATGAGAAAAGCCAATTCTAACAGCAAACATTCCCAGACCCAGGTCCCTTTCAGAGCTTGCTATGTCCTGCAAGTCTGGTCTTGCTTAGCTGTACTGTGGGCACCAGGCCCCTCCCAGCCTGTGTCTGCCTTCCTGAGTGCCCTAAAGAAATGGAGAACCAGTCTCTTCTCCACCCTGAACAATTCTTCCGCCCACTGCTGCAGACAGCTCGTCTCCACTTCTGACCCTGCCCTCACTCATGTCCAGACCAGCTTCTCTCCTCCTCCTGCTCTCCTCCCCATACCCCAGATGGCCTGCTGCCCTTTTTCTGTGTTCTTCTATACAGGTTGGACTTCCAGGGCAACAGTTTCTCTTTGTTCTTGGCCTAAGTGGTTCATATTTTACACCCTACAATGCTCTATGCTCAGTTCCTCCTTCCTTTCTCTCAGTCAGCAAGTCCATGCTCACCTAGGCAAGGCCTTGCCTCACCTGCAAGCCAGCCACACAACTCAAACAGATGTTCCCTGGGCACTGCTGCCTCACTCTGGCACTTGACTCCTTGATCTTCATCTTCTCTGGTCGAATTCTCTAATACTCACAGGTACTTAGCCCGCCCTCCACCCCTTTCCTACCTCTGTCCCCTCAAGATCCTCCCTCCTTCCATTCTTCACGCCTAAGCTTTTAGTTTGCATCCTTAATTTAATGTCCAACCTTCCAGTCTCTGTGAGGTCCTTGACTCTGCCCTCTGTGTCTGGACAGTGTCCACACTACACCCATACCTGAATCTAATGACATACACCACCCTTACCACTCAACACCACAGGACCTCATCTGAACACAGCTGCCTGCTCCCCTTGCTTGCCTGTGCTCTCTAACCTGCCTGCCTTCTCTTCTAAGGATGCTGATTAGCACCTGGAAGGTGACTGAACATCAGTGATAATGATATTATTTAGTTAGCACTTGCCCTGTAGTTTCTGGTATCTTCATGGCCTTGGAGGGAGCTCCTCTTACTGACTCCATGGAACAGATGGGGCCACTGAGGCACAGAGAAATTAAATACCTAGCAAAGGCCTCCTGCTGGGAGTGGTGGTTATGGGATTCCAGCTGCTGGATGCCCTGTTCCGTGCTCTGAGTGAGCTTCTTCCTGGACCCTTAAGTAGCTCACATCATGGAAGGGTGGCCTATTCCCCCATCTGAGATAGGGTCTTTACTAGGGTTGGGCCTGACCTGAGGGTGGGGGGGGTGTATCTTTGTTTTCTTTCCCATTAGACCTCATTCTGGGAGTGAGGTGGGAAACTCAAGTGTCTGCCTTCCCACCCCTGCACTGAGTTAGGAAGTCTCAGTTACAGTGTGGGAGGCCCTCAGCTGTCCTTCCACTTGGGCCTCTTTTCTAGAGATGAGAAAGTTGCCGGGAGCAGGCCATTGTCCAACTTCTTGGTCTTTTCCTCAGGGCTTAGGTTCACCAACCAGCCTGACTTCCTCAGAGGCTTTGGGGGCACTGGGCCTGCCAAGCTATGTTTTCTGGGCTGTCTGCATCCTCAGCGAGGGTGAGGGTTGTTTCCACTATCCATGGCAGGGACTTACTGTCTTTCTCCTCCCCCTGTCTTCTTTGCATCTTCTCCCCAGCCTTGTTTCACAGACCAGGCCAAATCATGCCCTCATGCCTTGTGTTCCTCCATTGTTGACAAGCTGTCCTCTCTGGTGATGTCATTTTCCATACTGTGGTATTCTAGCCCTTGTAGGTGGGTCAGATGAGAACATCCTAGGAGTGTGTGGTCAAGGAAGGAACAGCCGTGAAACAGGGGCTCCCTTTCTGGGGAGCTCTGTGATCCCTGCCCCATGCCTTTTACATACTTTTGAGCTCCTTTGCCATAAAGGCCAGTGGAGATCTTAGCCTCCATGGGAACCATTTGCTGGGGTGTTTGCAGCTGGTTCCCCGTGAGTTCCCCCTCAGCTTGGCAGAGTATTTACAGATGTGCATGTGGGGACATTCCAGATCCAGATGGCTAGAGAAAGGGGTGGGGTTCTGCATGCAAAACCCAGGTTGTGGGGAGATGCTGAGTGAAACAGGCTTTCTTGGGTGCCTTGGGCTTCCAAGAACAAACTGGTGGAACACACTGGTTGTGTGTGTGTGTGTGTGTGTGTGTGTGTGTGTTGGGAGCCTTAGAGAAGAGCCCCACAGGACAAAAATGCTTCTTGGATTTGCTTAATGGGAAAATCCTTAGCTTTATGACTTCCCTTCTGCCTCATGGCAGCTGCTTTCCCCAGCATGGCAAGGGTGAACATGGGAGGCTGACATCCTAGCACACTCCCAGTAAGCCTCTTCCCAGCCTTCCCTGGACCCCAACAGTCTGTGTGTCCCTTGCAGGGGCTCTAGAGCCTCTCCTTGCCAGACTTCTCCACCCTTCCTAGCCTCATTGATTAGCCTTCTCTTTCCCCAGAGACCCTGGATGAAAGTCTCTCTTTTGCCTAAACTGCAAATGTGTTCCCTTTCCCATAAACAGATTTATAGCTGTGCCTGCCCAGACAGAGTCCATGCCGGCGGCAACTCTGGCTCCTGCTTGCAACACAAGCCCCACGTCATGCCAGAAAAACATTGTGCACTGTTACTGCCATGGGGCACTCCCTGGACTGGGCTGTGTCTCTTCTCAATGGTCCCAGTTCCACTGAAAGGAGCAAGAACATCAAAAAGCTTGTTTCTTGTGTTGGGTCAAGGAGCTAGGAAGGTTTAGCTCATACAGACATGTATAGCATGTCCAGCCCAGTGACCTTTGAGGACAACAGACAGTGTTTGACTTATTGCCGAGTCCTTGGTGGCTGGCACAGAGCCTGGTGTATCTGAGGTCCTGCTGAATGTGTGCTGAGTGAAGGATGGATTGGATGAGCAATGAGCCCTTCTGAGAATTTGTTTCCTGCCCAGAGCCTGGCTTTCTGGTTCTGTTCCTCCCCACCACCCCTCGTCCCGACTTAGCCAACCCTTTCCCTTCAGACGGAGTTGTCACTACAAAAGGAGCAGCTGCAACTCAAGATCATTGAGATTGAGGATGAAACTGAGAAGTGGCAGAAGGAGAAGGATCGCATCAAGGTGAGCAGCTCCAGGATCCCCCCATTGTACTCTTACCTACCTGTGCTGCCTGGGAAAATTGGGTCATGGCTCTTGTCCCAAGTTCCAGCCGTAGTGACAACCGGTAGTTCTGTGTTTTGGATTCTCCTGCTCCCTTTGGCAGTCCTACCAACTCCCCTTCTCAGTTTGGACCAGGCATCCGGGTAGGATCTTACCTGTCACCTAACATTCATCATCCTAGCAAATAAACATCCCAGACCTGTCCGCGTTGAATCTTCCAATGTCTTCAGTTGTCTGCTCATTGGATGACTCAGCCACTAAGTACATGCCATTTCTCTACTTGTGCCACTGTGGCCGGATGTGTGTTGGCCATAGTTTGGGTAATGGCAAAACACAGCCTAAAATCATTGATTCTTGACATTGGCCAGAACAGCCAATTCACTTTTTGAACGGTGCTTGGTTTTGGTTGAGCACACCCTGACTTATACATCAATGTCTGGGCACACAGAGAGTCACTCAGCTATGGAATGGTGGCTTATGATGACCTACCCAGGGGAGGGAGCTGCAGTTGGATAAGGAAGGGTGGACTCTGAAAAATCCTGGTCATCTCTAGCAGCAGGTGGCATCCCTCAATAATGCCTTTGAATAAGATTCATGGTGAATAGCATTGCCAAGTTAGAGCACTGGGAGTGCCCTGGTTCTGTGTTTGAAACTTAAAGGTATGCTCTGCTGTGGTTTTCCTCCCTTTCTTTCTTTCCTTCCTTCTTTCTTTCTTTCTCTCTTTCTTCCTTTTGTTGTACTGGGGATTGAACTCAGGTCCTTGCGCTTGCCAGACTGGCAGTGACACCACTGAGCTAAATCCCTGGCCCCTGCTGTGGTTTTCTAAATGGAGCCTTCCTTCATCCCTCTCCTGATTCTGCACCTAGAGCTTCACCACCAATGAGAAGGCCATCCTGGAACAGAACTTCCGAGACCTAGTGCGGGACCTGGAGAAACAAAAGGAGGAAGTAAGGGCTGCACTGGAGCAGCGGGAGCAGGATGCTGTGGACCAAATAAAGATTATTGTGGATGCTCTGGATGAGAGGGCTAAGGTGTTGCATGAGGACAAGCAGACCCGGGAGCAGCTACACAGCATCAGTGACTCGGTGCTGTTTCTGCAGGTAATAGGAGAGTCCTCCACCATTCAAGTCCTCAGTCCCCTATCCCATCCCATCCCATCCCCCCATCCACTCTCCATCATCCATCCATCCATCTATCCATCCAAGCTCCTTTCCTTCTATCCATTTAATTTTTTCAACCGACCAACTACCCTACCTATTCTCAAGATGGTACACAAACATGACCTTGTACCAACTTTGATTGCTATGTACTAGCAGTATTCCAGAATTAGCAGGAAAGATTTCTGTGGTTGAATAGTAATGCCTGTTTTGGGTAAGGGGAGAATGGCATATGAACACTGCATCATTTTAATCTTTAATCTTAGTCTGTTTGTTTATTTATGCATCCATCTTTCTGTCTGCTAGAATGTTTTGGGTGCTCCTGGCTGCCCAGTACTCTGTTAGATGCTTTAGTGAATAGAGAAGTATAAGACATGGTTCCTGCCCCCAAGTAGCTGCAATCCAGCCAGGAAGATAAGACATATATAATTAGAGAACAATATAGAAAAGTGTATAATTAAATGATAAAGCATATGGCTCAGGAGATAAGTGCTGTGGAAACTCAGAGAAGGGCAAGCAGGCTGCAGCAATCTATGGACAGCTTTGCAGAGCAGGCAGAGTGTGAATGGGATCTTGAAGGCACTCGGGACTTGGGAAGGAGGAGGACAGGTGCGAGGAGCAGAGAGGTGAGAAGCACAGGATGGAGTGAGGCCTGTGAAGGTGGAAATACCACTATCACTGGCTCACAATACTTCAGGATTTTCTTGCATTTCCTGATGCTTTCATCCCATTGTGTTCATGCAAGGCCCTTTGAGGTAGGTGTGTTGCACCTAGGCCATGGGTCATGTGTCTGAATGCAAGGCCGCCACGGATGTTAGCATCTAATGGATTTTAGTTGGATGGTTTTCCCAGTGAGGTTAGTTAACACAGCTGATTCTAGAATGCAGCTCCTCTGGCTCCCAGCATTGAGTCTATAGCTGGGAGCCTTTTGGTAGGTAAAAGGTCCCTAAAACTCATAAAAATCCTGAAAGTTAATGAGTTCTTTCCTTTCTTGGTAGGAATTTGGTGCACTGATGAGCAATTACTCTCTGCCCCCACCCCTTCCCACCTACCATGTCCTGCTGGAAGGGGAAGGCCTGGGACAGTCACTAGGCAACTTCAAAGATGACCTGCTCAATGTGTGCATGCGCCACGTTGAGAAGATGTGCAAGGCTGATCTAAGCCGTAATTTCATCGAAAGGAACCACATGGAGAATGGTAAGTCCCCTCTTGTGTGCAGGCCCATGAGCATGTCCCTCCCAGGTCAGTTTCTGCTTCTGGGTGGAGGTCAGCATCTAGCTGTGGGCTCCTTTATTTTCCCACCCTTCTACTCCCTTAAAAGAATTGGGACTAAGATTCAGAGATTCTAACCCCATATTGAACTTGCAGCTATTCAAGGGGCCCTAATGGAGGGTGTACCTGGGTCTTGCCTTCAGAAGTGTCTCCTCTCAGTGGCTCACCTGTCACACTCAGGGACTGGTTTCATGCAGTCTTGCATCTGATCTTTGGGCCCAGCCTAGCAGCTAAGTAAATGCTAGTGCTGGTATGCACCGGGCTCCAAACTGGTGACTCTGCAGTCTCCAGTACAAGTGACCTAGCACTGCATGTGTACATGGAGAGAAGACTTGCATGTCACCATGGATGTGTTGGGAGTGTTGAACCCTGAGGCTGGACCTGGCCTTCCGGGCTGGCCTGGGGATATTGGGAGGCTGTGGATCTCTGTGACTCACCAGCTGAAATCAGCCCCTCCTGACTCACAAGGTCTCTGCCAAGGTCAACTGAATCATTTCACAGAAAGCCTCCAAACCTGAGAAACTACTCCGTTAAGTCCTTTTCCACCCAGTCCCTTTAGTGCCTGAGGTCTGGGTACTTCCCCCAAGGCCCCACCCAGTGGCCTAGGCCTAGCATGAAGTCTTTAAAATGCAGGCTAAGAAGGGTCTTCCAGCCTTGGACTCCTACAGGAAATGGCCCCTGTCTGGTCTGCAGGTGGAGCACATGATTCTTTGGGGAGGAGAAGGGGCTAAGAGTATACAGGAAGGTTGGGCAGGGGGCCGCCTGTGTATCTTGGTGATGGTGATATCACACTGTCCCTGTGAAATATGAGGGACATTCAGTCACACCTGAAGACAGATAAGATATTTTAGCAAGACAATCATTTGGCTTTAAATGGCTCTCAGATCCCGGCAGTCCCTTCCAAACGGCAGTAGCAATGAGCCTAATGGTGATAGTGACAGCTGAAGGTGATTGAGTGCTCCCTGGTGCTGGGCATTGTGCTACGCTCTTCACTCAAGACACCTTATTTTCTCTGTGGGGTGCTTCACATTGCACAGATGAGAAAGCTGAGGCTCTGGAAGCATCCTTTCAAAAGGTACACAGCTAGAGAGGGTGCTGTCAGGTTTCCCACGCTGCTCTCCAGTCTCCCATGCCTTCTCATCCATGAAGTCACTCATAGCAGCAACAGTGAGTGGCAGCAGGGAACAGGAGCAGTGTTGTGGGCACTGCCCTGCTGGGGAGCCCCTCTGTGGGTGAGGTGTGAGCACACTTGGGAGACTGGGCCTGATTCAGGTGGGTGCAAGAACTGTTCAGCCTCCCATATGTTCACTGTCCCATTTCTAGGTCATGGCGGCGCTGGTCATGGCCGTTGTGCAGGTGTGGCCCTGCGTCCTCTGTAAGGTGTGCAGGGAGGTGGCAGCTAGAAGCAGGAAGGGGTGCTGCTGATTCAGGAGCCCTGCCCCTGTGCCTGGAGCTACTGGAGGAGCCTCCTTTGCCTCTGTGTTGTTGTTTTTTTTGTGTTGTTCATGATGTGCAGTGCTTGGGAGTGTATCTGCTGTAGGAGGTTGAGGGTAGGTGGCTGGTGAATAAGACCTTAGATTCACTGTCTACTGCTCCCTGGTGGTGTCTACCAGACCAGACTCACTCCCACCCTCAAAGGCCTAGGGACTACAAGACACCAGGTCACCTTTTTCCTGGGCTCACAGCTAGGCTAGCACCCAATGTGTGCCAGGACCCTGGTAGATGCCTAGATACAGGTGGTGGAGATGAAAGATGAGTCTGAGCCACTCATTCCTCCTCTTGCTGGGGAAGGAGGGAGAGAGAGGAAGGAAGGAGAAGGAAGAGGAGGGGGAAGAAGGGAGGAAGATAGGGAAGCAGGAAGAGGAAGAATGGGGTGGAGAGCAGCTTGGGGAAATTGAGCAGTGAGTGGCAGATTGTTAAGTGGGCAAAGCTAAGTCACTCCGCTTGTCTTGGGAGGCCAAAGCCGGGAGCTCATTCTGCCTCCCGAGGCTGACAACCAGGGCTAGAGCTGAGCTGCAAAGTTGGGAGCCAGGTCTCAAACTCCAACTCTGCCCTTACTGGCATGTAGCATGGGCCAAGTGGCTTCCTTCACCTCCTGAGCCTCTATTTTCCTATCTGTCACAGAGATTTCGTACTTATCCAAGAGTTAACATGCAGATCAAATAAGAAATGAATACCCACAGTCCCTTGTGAACTCCAAAGTGCTGTGCACATGACCTCACTCACAAGGTGCTGTAGGGACTGGGGGCCCCTGCACAGGGTGGATGGCTTATTGCACACCCCACCCCTAAGAGCTCAGGAGCAGAGTAGATGAGCAGGCACCCTCACATTCTTAGGGTGTGGAAGCTTGGGTCTCCCTGGATGGAGGAGGTGCCCGAGTGGCCAGCTCCTCTTTCCCACCTACCTCCTCTGCTGACCCAATCTCTCTTTGTAGGTGGTGACCATCGCTACATGAACAGCTACACAAACAGCTTCGGGAATGAGTGGAGTACACCTGACACCTTGAAGAGATACTCTATGTACCTCACGCCCAAGGGTAAGGGCAACCCTGCTTGGCCCAGGCCTGGCATCCTGTCCCTCCTGCTGCCCAAGGGCCCCAGAGCCCATGGAATGACTCCCAGCCAGGCTCCTCCTAGGTGGAATGACCGTACCTCTGGTGTGCCTGAGAAAGCCTGGACATCTGCCTGCTGTCCCCGTGTGATTACAGACAATGTTTCCTTTCATTCTCAGAAGTGACAAGTGTTCTGTTTAGATGATAAGTTACCCAACACTCTGCTCTTTAGAGGCTTCCCTCCCTCGACACAGTCTGCCCTTCCGGGACCCTCCTCTGAACTTCCCAGAATCTCCTGGGCTCCCCTTTGTAGGCCGAACTATGTGGAACTTCCGCTTAGGTTCTGTAGGTCAGGGACCTGGGGGAAGAGAGGGGCTGCCTCCTCTGCATTTCCTTTCCTGCAGCCTGGCCCCAAGCCCTCCTCTCCCTTACAGAGCCTGATAGGGTCTAGACTAGGCCGTGCCTCTCCTTCGGCTAGGGGAGCCTGGCACATTGTTGGGCACCAAAAATAAACCACAGCAGTGCCCATTACATAAGTTTTGGGGTGCCAGGCCTAGCAACCCTGGATGGAGGATTGTGCATATGGATTTGGAGCTGGGGGCTGGGAGCCGGGAGAGGGTGGGAATGTGAGGAAAGGAAAGGAGACAACAGGAAGGCATTGGGCCGAGGAGGGGACCATGAGTGGAACAGCATGAAACAGTCACCCATATGCACATGCGCGTGCGCACACACACACACACACACACACACACACACACACAGTGGGAGGGCTAGAGTTTGCAGGGATGAGCTCACTGGAGAGGAAGCTCTGCTGCCCTTCCTGATTTGAGAACAGCAACTGAGTTTCTTAAGCAGGTCTAGGGCGGCAGCCCAGTGAGCAGCTTCTCTGCTCCAACATTCCTGGTGTGGGCCAGGCCCAGCCGCCAGGCTGCACCCCTGCCTAGTTCTGTGAGTGAAGAGCTGCACTAAACAGGACACCCCGACTCTGCCTTGCCTGGTTCTTCTGTTTTTCCAAGTCCAGCCCCATGAGAGCAGGCCCCCATTGGCTCTTGCTAGATTCTCCTGCTCTGTGGAAGCCTGAGAGCCAGGGTGACCGCACTGCAAGGAGAGAGGAGTACAGCCCACTGAGTTGTCACCTGGACAGTCTAGAGTCACTGTCCCCTGTGGCTTCATTGTTCCTATCTGAGAAGAGAGGCAGATGGCCCAGGACTCAGAATTCTCCCAGCTCTGCCCCTGTGAGTCAGTCTGTGACATCTGTAGGTGGAAGAAACAGGTTCCCCCAGTGTCCCTGCCCCAGCCCTGTGGGCAGCACCCTGGCTGGGGATAAGGAGGGGCAGGACGTCTGCCCTCTGGGCTCTCAGGATCAGGGCCGAGGAGAGGCAAGGGAGACACTGACAAAACCAGGCAAGGAGATCTGGGAAGCAAGGCCACTAATGGCCATCAGCCCAAGCCTGGCAGTTTGGGGGCCAGTGGATTAGGCAGTGGCTGTGACCCCTTCCTGGGAGAGCTTAGTTTCGAGGCTTCCTGAACAGGAACTGTGTGCTTGGTAATAAGGAGTGACTGTGATAGGCAGAGGGCACTGGGTAGAAGAAACCACAGGCAAAAGTGTCTAGAGGGACAGATGGGGGCCACACTTGGGGGCTGGGGTGCAGTCTGAGGTTTAGGTGGGGAGGGGCAGAATCGACATGGGAGTGCTGACACACTGCTCTGTGCAGCGGGTACCAATCTGCTCTGCCTTCCCCCTGGCTGCCATGAGCACCTGGCTGGGGACAAAGGGAGGCACTTGTGGTCAGTGAGACTCTGATGGCCCTAGGGAAGCCACAGTGTTGTCACCTGTAGGTGACTCAGCTCTCATGCAGCCAAGGGCCCAATTCCTCTGTCCCCGACATTGCCATGGCCTCTCCCTCCTCCCACGTACTGCGTCTCCCAGCCCCTGAAGTCTCATTCACATAGGTTCTGCTCCGGGAGGGAAGTATTGCCTTGTCAGCCTCCTAGTGGTCCGCAGAGAAGGACTACTGTACATCACAGCATATCTAGGACTGTCCTGGTGAGCCCCAGTTCCTGCGAATGGTGGCAAATAGAGCCCTTTCCATTCCCCAAAGGCTCTACATTTGGATCATAAATGGTCACCTGATGCTAGACCCATGGACTGCTCTTAATGTGGGGGTCCAGGTCCCGTGGGGGGCACATGGAGACTCTTTGGGTTTCTGCCTAAGATTCCCCAAGTCAGAGACCATGGAGCTGAGCCAGTCCCTATTTCTACAATGATGAACCCCTCTTGTCTGCCCACCAGGTGGGGCCCGCTCTGTCTATCAGCCATCGTCTCCTGGCCGTCTCTCCAAGGAGACCAACCAGAAGAATTTCAACAATCTCTATGGCACCAAAGGTAGGAGCAGGCTCAGCTCCAGGGTAGGCAGGGAAACTGTGGGGGAGCAGGCAGAGGTGGGGGCCAGAGCTGGGCCATGGTGAGCACTGGATTCCCCATTGTGAGATGAATATGGGGAACTGGGGGAGGAGGAAGTTCTACTGAGCTTAAAGTGTGTGTGTGTGCGTGTGTGTGTGTGTGTGTGTGTGTGTGTGTGTCCATGCACATGCACACAGGCATGTACATCATTAGGTGGGCTGGGGGAGAAGCCGCCGGAACTCAGCATCATGGGAAAGCCTCCCTCAATCCATGTGCTCTTCTTGTCCCTGAAGGATGAGTTGGGGGAATAAGGTGGCCACTCTGGAACAAGGTCTGGGGATCTCTTCCAGCAAATAGAAGGACACAAGGACCCACAGAGGACCTTGACCGATTTCTGTACTTCTGCATAAGAATCATGTAGTAGCTGGGCGTGGTGGTGCATGCCTGTAATCCCAGTGCTCAGGAGGCTGAGGCAGGAGGATCGCTGTGAGTTCAATACCAGCCTGGGCTACATAGTGAGTTCCAGGTCAGTCTCAACTACATAGTGAGACCCTGTCTCAAAAAATAAAACAAAACAAAACAAAAAAAAGGATCACACAGTAGTTTAGACAAATTAGCTTAGCTATGGATAGAATGAAAGGCATGGCAGGAAATGGGGCTGTTCCTGGAAATAACAAAACAAAAAAGGATCACACAGTAGTTTAGACAAATTAGCTTAGCTATGGATAGAATGAAAGGCATGGCAGGAAATGGGGCTGTTCCTGGAAATCTAGGTAGCATTACTGCCATGTGAGGGGAACAGGTGACACCATTAGACCGACAGAAGTGGAATGAGGGTGGGGATGTGCCTTCCCCAGCACCAGGTCTCCCTCTGCCAGTGCACTGAGTGACCTCTACGCCTCAGGGCAGAGACAGGAACTCAAAAGCCCTAGTTGTGGGAGGTGCTCATTCTGACCTGGGGTCTCCTGGTTTGGCCTGCTGTATGGGGGTGTGTGTGACTGGGCCAGCTCCACCAGAGTCCCCACCCCAGACAAAGCACCAGGAAGACTCTTGAGTGAGGCCCAGGCCCACTTAGATTAGAGAGTAGGGCAACCTGGGGAGAAGAGCAATGTGTAGCCCTCTCCGTCCAGCATCAGATTCACAGCTGGGGCCCACCATGACCTTCTTATCCACATAAACAACAGCCTATAAGCTATAGGAGGGTAGACACGGGGTCTGTCTTGCTCAGGGATGCCACTGCTGGTCCCAGAAGTGGGACAGTTTGTGGGAACAGTTGTTGAAAGACAGGAGGAAGAAACGGGAGGAAAAGCAAGGCCTCTAGTCTCCTGGAGTCTTAGGCAGATATGTTCTTTGAGGGTCTTGTGCAGAAGCTTCCTGAGTCCCTGCTGGAGGGTCTGCCATTGAAGTGTGGCCATCCCAGCCAACCTGACCCCTGAGCTCAAACCTCAGAGCTTGATGGGCATTTCTTCAGAGCCAGCTGGACTCAGGAGGTGCTGGAGGCTCCTGGGATGCTATGAAAGAGGCTGGAGTTCCAGGGCTCTGAGTCCCTCAAAATGTCCTCTTGGTGCCTCTACTGTCCCCTCTACCTGCTCCCCACTGCCTGCACCTCAAGATGACAGGGACATATTTGTACATGGACATCTGTTACAATATTCAACCTGCCAAACAAGATTTCAGTTGTTCCATCAGCTGCCTCTGTCTCTAATGTATAGGATGTGTTTGTGTTTATTTGTTCTTTTGCTCATGCATTCATCCATCAACCATACAATGAGCACCTTCTAAGAACCAGGCACAATGATCCTGGCCAGACAGGCATTTTTCCAGTCCTTATGGAGCCCAGTTGGGCAGACAATGAAACCTGCAGTTGCAGTGCAGGGGATGGGGGTGCAGGGTGGCATGGGGTGTGGGTTGAGGTGCACACAGATTCAGGGATGGTCACAATGTAATATGATACATGAAGATCCATTATATGAATTTGCTAAGAATGGGGAGCATCTGGCAGAAGATCTGCTCTGGGCCCAAAGCTTGGGGCAAGAGAGAAACAGGGAGCTCAACCTGGTTGGGGTGTTGGGTGACACACTGAGTGACAGAGTGGGGAGAGGTGAAGCCAGGAAGTGGATAGAATGATGAGGGTTGGGGACCCCTCAGGAAAGACCTGTGGGCTGTGTTAAGGACCTGGCTTCTTATTATGAGGATGGTGGCCTTTAGGTAGGGCAGGGCATGATTGTGCTTTGTCTTAGACAACTGATGGTAGGAAGGACTGGGGGAGGCATTCTGTCTTCCAAAGAGGGGGCTGGAGAGTAAGCTCAGAAGTGGCTGCATCTCAGTCTTGCCTTCCCTCCTCTACTCTCCCCACCAAAGCCTGATGCTTTCTTGTCCTGCAGGTAACTACACCTCCCGGGTCTGGGAGTATTCTTCCTCCATCCAGAGTTCAGACGACCAGCCCCAGGTCCAAGGCAGCTCCTCCTTCTCCCTGAAAGGTAAGCCCTCCCTTGCATGGCCCTGCTTGTCCTCTGCAGTTGCCACTTTGCCCTCTGCTCCCCTCTCACTGGTCCCTCAGAGATCTTGGAGAAGATAATCCTGGCCTGAGAGCCGGAGCTCCTGGCAAGGTCTTTGCTGTGAAGGAGGTCAGGGGCTGGGGCTGGGCCACACAGTGTTTTCCAGGGTCCCTAAAGATGTGCTGTGACTCCTGGGCTCACAGATTGGTGAGGGGGTCTCCTCACTCCCCCGGCATCCCCCCCCCACAGGCCCAAGGGCTTCCCTTAGGTTCACACTCAGTCTTCCTACTGAGTCAGTGACTTCGAAGATTGATTCCCCCTATGGCCTGGGGCCATGTGGCATCCTCACTGTCCCACAGGGCCAATCCTGCCAAACCACTTGAGGGTAGGTGGGGCCAGATGACCTTAAGGGGCCAAATCCCATCTTCCTTTTCCTGTACACTGCCCTCACTGTTGTGTTTCCTAGAACTCTTAAACAAGGCTGAGTGGTTAATATATCTCCTGGGCCCCCAGGTTGGGGCCATCCTAAGGGAATAAGCTTCAACCAGACTCTGGCTCTCAGTGGACTCCAAGGCCCCCATGTCTCTCCTGAAAGGTCCTAGGGACAGCTCTGGTGGACTGTGGCCCAAGTAGGCCCTTTTTCCCTTGGTATGCAAAGTGCCGGGCCCTGGAGAAAGGACCAGCAGGCAGGGCAGGGCCTAAGGAGGGACAGGGAAGGGGCTGTGCTGGAGCAATGCCAGAGCAGTGGCTTTGCCACCCACTGGTCCTTCTAGGCTACAACTAGAACAGGATTCTTGAGAAACCAGTAAGGTGAAGGGGAAGAGAATATGAAGGGAGAGGGGCTCCAGTCTGCAGGGTCTCCCAGAGGTCTTGACTCTGAGCCAGGTATGGGAATCACTGGGACGTGCCTTGGCCAGTCTGGGTTCCAGAAGATGCCTCTTGGACCCCCGGCAGGAAGGACACCTGGGTTCATCTGCCTGCCCGGACCCCCTGTCTGAGGCCTGCCCCAGGAGGGACTCTCCTCAAGTATACTGTACCTTGGAGGAGGAGGAGCCTGGGGATGCCCTTCTCACTGTTAGGCAGATCACTCATGGGGCTGGCTGGGAGGGCCCTGGACAGGGTTCTGGACAGAGGATGTGCTGTGGGAAAGGACTGAGTCCCCAGACACCCCCAGCAGCTCTGTAGGCGGGGAGTGTCCAGGGCTGCCTATGAGCTGCAGAGTGGAGGAAGGGCTGCAAAACTGAGGGCACAGAGCTCAGTGAGGAGTGCTCACCTCGGCCTCCTGAGTGTGGGTACAGGCTGCTAATGCCTCTCTCTCTCCTGGCAGGCGCTGGGAAAACCCCCTATCAGTTCACCACCTTGGGACAGGCCACTGCAGAATTTTCCAAGCCACTGAACCACAGTGGGCTGTTTAACAATAACCCTGGTACCTGCGCCTTTCTCACCCTTCCCCTTACCTCTCTCACAGAGGGCAGGTGGCACATCCTGCGGGGTTCTCTGCCACTTCTAGGGTGTCCTGGTCCCACCTCCCTAGAGCTTCCTGGAGAAAGGTGCCTGTCCTCACCTGCATCTAGCTCACTTGGTCTGGACTTCTGCCTGTTGCATAAGGCTGGTCTGCAGGGCCACCCTATGCCTACCCTGTCCCCTTTTACCTCTCTCACGGCTGGCAAGGGATTTTCTTTCTGGGAACTGAGACTGAGGTTTGAATTCCTCTTCTCCATTTTTACTCAGGATCTATAGAATCTCTATATCCCAGGCTGCTCTCACCCTAGATGCAGGGACAGCCCAGGGTCCTGGCCCTGTCCCCACTCCCTGCCTCCTTGTTCAGTGCCATGGGTCTGTCCTTCTCATCCTTGTGGAGAGCTGGGCAGGACACAGTCTCCCCAGGAAGGCAGCCTGCAGCCTCACTCAGCCAGGGGAATGCCAAGGACAGACCCAGTTTATTTCTCGAGCTTTTCAGCATCGAGGTCATGGCCTATTTCTTCCTGGCCATTGCTGCCTGTCCCTGGTCAACAGTGAGATGCTTTTCTCTGATCCATGGGCCAAGGCAACTTACAGCTCCCACCCCCTGGATAATGGAGGATAGGGAGGTGGCAGGGCAGCTCAGCCCAGGCTGGCATCTTTGGATCAGACCCAGAGAATGCCTCCTGCTTCCACTTGGGTTTGCTGTCCTGACCCCGGGTGGAAGCCATGATGAAACACCATGTCTCTCTGTGGCCCTGTCCCTAGCATAGTTCTTGACTCAAGTAGGAGTTGGCAAAGGGGAAGCCTCCCCTACTTGGTAAGGTGGAATTGGGGCTCCTCCTGCAGAGAAGTGCTGGCAGGGGACGCTTATCCTAAGGCTGTCCTGGGCTCCAGGATGGGGAGGGGACTGGGGTGTGAACCCTGGGTGGGTGGTGGAAACCCCTGCTGCCTGGCCTAGCCACCTGGCCAGCTCCTGCTCTGTCTGTCTTGGTGCCTTCTCTCTGGCTGGCCTCCCCACCCGGCTGCTGCACACCTCTTCAGGTGGCTGTTTGGTAGTGGGCTGGGAGGTGCTTGGTGGTCACTGTGGAGAAAGCAGCAGCACTGCATCAGCCCCTGAGGACCAGTGTGTGCTCCCTCTGACCACAGCCTCTTGTCTCCCAGGCTATCCCTCCCTCCTCCGGAGCCAGGCCCCCAAGGCCCAGCCCCAGACTTGGAAATCTGGGAAGCAGACTCTGTTCGTAAGTAAAGTGTTGCCCAGAGAGCTGCCCGGGCACAGGATGGGCAGAGACTTGTGCCCTGGAAGGGGCTCCCAGATTATCCCATTTTTAGTCTGTAGGATCTGTGGGAAGAGCATCCTCCTCCCCTAGGCCATGCATGGGAGAAGGAGGCAGCAGTGGCCTCAATACCTGCATAAACAAAGATGGCAGAGGTTTACAGGCAGGGACTTGTGTGAGCACACTATTTGGGCCTCAGTTTTCAAATCTGTAAAGTGCCACCCTGCTTTTCTATTTGACAAGTGATTGTTTAGTGCCTGTGCTTGGTGGCTTAGTTGTCACCAGCTCTGGGATTGTCAAATGCTCAGTTTAGGGCATGGGCATCTTGGAGCTGTGTCCTACTGCCCGGGACAGTGGCTCTGACAGTGTAGAGGCCATTGGTGTGATAGCCTGGGGATGGAGGAGGCTGGAACATCAAGAAGAGGTATACGCAGGGCTCCATGCCTAATGACCCCAAGCCAAGGGTACCATAAGAACAGTGCAGTGGGAAAATGGCTGAGGGACCCAGGCTACCTGCTGGCTGTGGCATCCAGGACAAGTCAGATATCTCTTTTGGCTCTATTCCTTCATTTTTATAATGCGGGTGCTGAGATAAGGTGAGCTTTAGCCCCAGCAAGCCGGAGCCCTGCCTGAAACCTCAGTGGTCAGACTGGCTCACATACTGAGCCTCCATCTCTGCAAATGCTTCTCTCCTGAGGCTATGCCAGGGGTCAGCCAGTGGCCCTGATATATAAGCACTGTTAGGGTTTTCTGGGGACAGGGCCCAAGCCCTGGGCACCTGCTGCCTTTGCATTTGGAGGTCAGAGCATAGGGAGGTGATTTGCTCTGGACCACAGAGAATGTCTGCGGCTGTTTAATTGGAGAGAATCTTTAATTTGCCAGTGAGGGAGCTAAGTGATCATGTGTGTAATTTGGAGCTGGGCCCAGGGGCATTGCAACAGCTGGACTGCAGACAGCTGATATGGGAGAACAAGCAAGGTTTCTGTGTCTCGACACAGTCTTCCCCTCCCTGCCACATTCTTCACCTTCCCAGAGCCTGGGTCCCCACAGAGAAGACTCAAGGCTACCTGGGGACTCCTGGAGGGCAGGTTCCTGGTGTCCAGCCAGCACCCATTGCTGGGAGGGCAGAGATGGTCTGAGCGAGCAGAGTCTGGCCTGGCAGGCAGCAGCTTGTGAGCTGGTCCCAGCCCTCTCCCCAACTTGCTGTGTGACCCTACGTGACTCTTTTTTCCTCTGTGCTTCAGTTTCCCCCCTATAACAAGAAATACTAATCAGATGGCCCAGGTGCGTTCATAGCCCTTTTGACACTCACGTGCTACAAGCCTGAGCCAGAGAGGAGACAGGGGAGGAGGGACAGAGGAAGGAGGGCACCGTGTCTGGGTATCATGGGACTATGCTCCCACCCATCCATCACTCCAGGCTCTTAGCAAGACAATCCTGTTCACTGACCTGTGACCCATATTACTGACCCAGCCTCCACAGGAGAAGCTCTGCAATCCCCACCTCTTCGCCTTGTGGACATTTTTGGGCTCTAGACTAGTACTTGGGGTCAGAGACTTGGCTCTAGGCCCTGTCCTGCAATGAGTAGCCATGTGACTTTGTCTCACTTCTTCCTCCTCCTGGGTCTCAGTTTCTTCCTCTGTTTTCTTGGTGGTTTAGCTGAGGTCTGAGCCAGTGACCCTTGGGCCTGGCCTTGCAGGGCCAGAGTCTGCAAGGAGCTGTTTCAGAGCAGTAGGCCCTAGGCAGACAGGGCCAGGGTGGGCCTGGACCAGAGGTGTGAGTAGTGGAGGACAATATCTCCTGTACAGTGGGCACAGGGTGGGCTGGGCTTCTGGCTCAGCTCAGGGATACATCCACTCTCTGAGCCCCTCTGAGGCTGACAGGGTCCTCACCCACAGTTAGCAGCTAAACTGTGCTCTCCCATTTCAGCCTGGAAGGCCAGGGCTCAGGGCCCTGAGGAAGAATTGGGAGGATGAGGGAGGGCGCTGATACTGTGAAATTACCATGAGATGTGATCCACAGAGAAGACGGAGAGAGAGAGTCGTTACTGGCCTGTCCTGGATTTGTTCCCTGAATTTTGATGAGGGGGTCAGGATATAGGGAGTGGGGTGAGGGCGAGCTTGGTCTGGTTAGCCTGGGGCAGAGAGAGCAGAGGCAGAGCCTCTGAGACACAGATGTGATGCTGGGATGGGACTGACCACTGGGGCTCTAGTCCTGGCTTCTCTACTCACTAGCTGAGTGACCCTGGGCAAGTTGCCTAGCCTCTCTGGGCCTTGGTTTGCTCAACCGTAAAATGGATACAATAACAGTAACCTGTTTAATTGGGTGGTTGTAAAAATTAAATGAGTTCATCCATAAAAAAGCATACAGCACGGTGCTGTGTCGTTCTGTAGAGCAGAAAGTGCTATAAAAATAGTGGCCATGGTGGGCTGGGATGCTCTTGGAGTAGGCAGGGGTTGAGGTTCAAGTTCATCAACTGCCTGGCAGACACAAGCCCTACACAGAAATTCTGTTAACACAAGGGACCAACCCTGGAGCACAGGGTAGGGAGATCTTGTAGGTCAGGCTATAGCCCTTAGAATGGCTGGCATTGGGGCCATTGCTGCTTCTGGGGGAAGTGAGGCGGGGGCAGGGGAGGGCTGGCTAGGGGTGTCCTGCACCTGGCCACCTAACACTCTTGTTTCCTCCACAGTCTCACTACCGGCCTTTCTACGTCAACAAAAGCAATGGGATCGGGTCCAATGAGGCCCCCTGAGCCCTGGCAGGAGGGACCAAGGCACAGCCACCCCCCACCCTGTCCACCTCACACTTTTTCAGCTGCTGCTCTGCTCCGAGTGAGAGTGGGCCCACCTGCCCTGCCCTCCACTGCTGGCCGTGCTCCATCCCAGCTATTTCCCACTTGGTCACCCTTGTTCCTATGCTCAGGGGCCAACCCAGGGCAGGACTAAGAGGCAGGCAGCTTCTCCTTTAATTCCCCCTCATGGGGCTGGGTCCCTGGGGCCTCTGTGGTGTCGGCCTGCCCTCTTGCCCGCGCCCTTTTGTCTCTAGGCCTGGTGGCCACTTCTCTTCAAGCACTCATCTCCCCAGTGTGGGCAGGAAGTGCCAGGCCGTTCCTAGCTCCCTTTCCTGTGAGCCCACCTTCTTCTTCCCAGCAGCCTTGCCCTGACAGAAGAAGGCTGTCCCATGTGCCCTGAAGGTCCTACTCACGAAGCCTAGCCTGGCAGAACCTCAGCCTTTGGCCACCTTGGAGAGGGAGCTTTTGGTGACCGGGCCTCAGCCTGCCTGTAGTCTCTGCCATGCTCACCTTGAGTCTGCAGTCCCTGGAGCACAGGCTCCTGGCTGGCAGGATGGTCTAAGCCAAGCTATCCTCTTCTACCTTCAGCACAAGCAATATAAGCCATATAAGCCACCCCTGAAAATAGGTACTGGCCCAGCCTCCCTCAGGAAATACCATTTCCCTGTGGGAGTTTAATCATTATAGAAACTGGCATTCTCCTTAGCAATAGAAATGGAGCAGGCTGGTGATTGCCACCACTGTCTACAAGGCTGCCTTACATACTGCCCCATCAGGGAATCTGTCTCCCCTCTGACTGTCTTCCTGGTCTGTCACATGTCACAGGGCCTAGAGAGGACACCAAACCAAGAGCAGCCTGGGGGTGTCCTCTCTCACTCCAAGGACAGATGGGGGCTATGGAGGTGTCCAGCTTGTAGAGGTGGGAGGGGACTTTCAGCTTGGGCTTTCCCCTCAATAAACTCATCACTCACCGCTCTGTATGGATATGTGGTTCTCTGAGGGTCCTTGCAGGGATGGGAGGGTCTGTCATCTTCTTTCTCCTTGAAGATGGAACGCCATTGGGTCTCTCCTTCACCTTCCCCTGCTTACACGGAGACTCTGGGGAGTGGAAGACTGGACACAAGACAGGCCTTGGTTCACGGAGGGCAGATGTGGCCATGGCTGTGGGTGGGTAGACATTCTCGTGACCCTGCCCTGGGTTTCATAATGAAGAGGGTGCAAATACCCTAGTATGGCTGGGACACCACAGGACCCCTGCTCTTCCAGCCCTCACTCTGCCCCACCACAGGCCAGGTGACACGGAGCAGTAAACCCCCCCCCAAGCCAGCTAATCCAAGTCCATCCTGGAGGGACAGCGCTCCTCTCTCCTCCTGCGATCCGCTGGGCTGAGGAAGCTATAGGATCCCAGCAAGTGGCCAGGCTTCCCATGAAGGGGCTGCTGGAGCCAGCAAAGGAAGGAAAGAGTGATCAAGAAGAGAAAGAAGAGGAGAAAGTAGGCTGTGAGGAGCAAGGGAGGGTTGTGCGGCCCATGGAGGACACACACTGCCAGGAGGGGACACTACCACAAGCTGGACTGGTGTGCTCTGGCCACCTCTGCGGTCTGCCTTGGGGCTGGGTGGAAAGAGTGTCCCTGGGGTTGGCTGCTGCTCCCTGCAGCCCCCTGTCCCAGTACTGCTTTCCTCAGCCAATATCCCCCCATCAGTCTACCTGCACAGGCCTAAAGCCAACCTGGCCTTTCAGACCTGTCCCTGTGACCATAAGGACAAGAAGGCCACATTCCTGGACTCTAAGGCTTTTCCAGTCCCCTGGGCCCTGCCCAAGCCCCCTGCTCTAGAGGAGGGAGCAGCTGGAAACCCAGGTCTGGCCCATTCTATGGGCTTGGGTGTCCCTAGGGCTGCCACTTGCCATGTGGAGGTAGATATGATGTGAAGTCACCAGAGACTTTGGCCCTGGGCTGGGAACTAGGTGAGGTCCTCTCTGAGCATGAACCTCCCCAGTCTGTCCATACAGTTTCCATTATGGTCTGAAATGATTAAACAGCAATCAGGGATCCTTTCTGCCCAGTTCCTGAGAATGCCTCCCCCACCACTGTGAGTGAAAACAGGACACCTCTGGCAGGTCCCAGGGCGTGGGGTGGAAGGATCTCCCCCCAGAAGGGATGAAGAAGGAGATTAGCAGAACTCTGTTGCCACTCTGGGTTGTTTCAGGCCTGGAACAAGTTGCTGGCCTGTGCTGCTGTTCTCTGTCCTCACCAAGCTCTGGGATGGAGGCTGTTCTGGGAAAGACCTGAGTGTCAGCTGGCAGAGGGCAGGAGGCAGGCTGTGCTGGGCTCAGCCAGAGGAGCCCTGGTGGGGTAACTTGGGAGACCTGGCTTCTTATCCTGCTTCTGTCACTTCCATCTCTGACTTGATCATTTTGGAAGTCCTTTCCTAGCACTGTAGCCAGTGAGATGAATACCACATCAAGGAGGGCTGGATGCAACCGGAACTTTGAGCATGGTTGAAGCCTGGGGTTCTGTGAGCTTGGCTGCACTGAGAGCCAGGAGGCTCAACTCCAAGCCCCCAAGGCTCCCTTCCCCCAGCCCAGTATGACACCTGCTCTTCTAGACCTGACCACTAGGGGCCATGAGATGTCTTCCTGTCCAGTAAGAAAGAAGGCTGGGCCCACAGCTGCTTAGGCCTTCAGGATCCCTGGTGACACCAGGAGCAATTCCATCTTGTCTTAAAAGAGCCTGGAGGGGCTGGGACACACTCATCTGAGAAGAGGTGGTGGGTGATGAGGGTGAAAGACAGACGAGAGGATCTGGGAAGTCGCACATTGAGGGGTGATAGGGCACGTTACGGCTTGGGGAGCTGAGACACGGGCTCCCGAGGGCTGTGGGAAGTCAAGAGCCAGACTGCCAGGACTGGAATCCTGATGGTGCCACCCACCAGCTGCATGACCTCGGGCAAGCTGCCCAGCCTGTCTGAGCTTCAGTGGCGAGGACAATTTAAAGGACTGGTATGAGCAGCAAAAACAATGTGACAAGTAATGTCGGCATCGCGAGGACTCAGTAGTGCAGAGATTATCATTACTGTCGAAGAAACAAACAAAAAAAAAAGTAATGACAACATCCCAACCCTGTCTTTTATAGTAACCTTCTGCCTTTGGTGCGAAAGCAGCGGGCCTGGTTTCCAATTTCTCACGGGGCTGCAGGACCAGCTCCAGGGTTCCTACAGTTCTGGAACACGACCAGAGGGTGGCAGCATTTCACCACCTCAATGGGAACTGAGCCTCTTCCCCAGCCCAGGCAGTCAGGAAAGGGGCCACAGCCCTTGTGCTGGGGGGCCAGGCCCTTTCTTCACTCTGCATTAGCTAACCAGATGTTTTTGTCCTAGCCTGGAATGCACGATGGCAGAATCCTCAGCCTGAGCAGGAGTGAGGGCGTACTACTCATGCCACCAAGTGCACATGGAGGCTGAGGGTTGAAAGGGGAATGTTCCTCCTAAACAGGCACCATCCCTGGGGCCTGGCCAGGGGAGGGGCTGGGTGGGCTTTCCAGCTTCATCTGTGCAGCCCTGTCCTTGTCCCATCAAACCCTCAAATCATCTCCAGGAGTGACCGAGGCAGTTTTATCTTTCTGAGTACTGACTATTACGTTTGAAAATGAGCTGTTGTTCAGCCACATAAACAAGGGAGATAAACGCTAATTGTTTGGTGGATGTGCCTACTTCTGGTTCCTAATTCATCACCTTGCCAAGGTGGGGAGGGAAAGAGGAGGAGAATGGGGACTGGGACCTTTAGGGCCAACAAACCCATTTCAAGAGGACATGGCAGTGAGTAGGTGAGTCAGGAACCCCTTCCCAGGGGGTGAGAATGGACCCAGGGCTTCTTGAGGACAGGAAGCCAGGAGATAGAGGGTGGGCCTGGAGGGCTTCAGTTCATGGCTGTCAGTCAGTTCATCTGAACCGGACACATGATTGGTTTCCTTGCTGGCCTGTGGTTGGGCCTCAGTACCAAGGCTGGTCCTACCCTCAGTGGGGCTGAACTGATGGGTTGCAAACACCACCACTGTCAACCTGCAGGAGCTGATCTAGCAGTGGACGGTGCAGCCCAGGAGCCTTATGGAGAAGGACTCTGGATTCTTTTGAGGGAAAGTGTTTTGTCTTTGATAAGTTAGGGCTGTGGGCTGGACCAGGTAATCTGGACTCAAGTTGGGTTCGTTGCATAGGCCCAGATGAGAGAAAGGAGCATAAGGGTCTCATGGAGGGGCAGGACAGGAGGGGCACGAGGGAAGAGACCTATGTTCTTTTGCAGATACAACCGGGCCTCTGTCTGAGGCTCTGCTTCTGTGGATTCAACCAACCGTGAATGAAAACATGAGAAAAAAATGCATCTGTATCAAACAGGTAGACTTTTGCTTGTCATTATTCCCTAAACAATACAATGTAATGACTATGTACACACCATTCACATTGTATTAGATATCCATGATCTAGAGACGATTTAATGTATACAGGAGGATGTACATAGGTAGGTTCACACATGTTCTACACCACTTCAAGTAAGAGACGTAAGCATCTGTGGAGTTTGGTGTTCACAGGGTGGGGATTACACAGACTCTAAGAAGCAGCTGACCAGAGCTGCGGCAGATTTAGACACGGGTAGCAGGAGGCACAGGTGCTTCTTTGGGAATTTGGCCTCTTATCAGGGTGGACAAGACGGCCTCAAGGATGGACCTGTGAGCTGATCTAGGATGGCGGGGGCAGGGGGGAAGCACAGCAGAGGGCGGTGGGATGTCAGCTCTCTGGGGAGGGGCAGCAGTGTTGAGACTTGTGATGGGAGGTCTTGCCTGGGAGATGAGTTCCCCATCTGTGAGGAGGACAAAGGCTGGCCTGGCAGGCAACAAGGTGGCAGGACCGGATCACACAGCCCCTGTAAGCTCAGGGGCTGCCTCTGGGGAAGGACCAGGACCAGGTCAGCACTCTAGGAAGAGGACCCTGGAGGCATTGAGAGTGGAGGTCAAGATGAACTATTGGTGACTTGAGAAGTCGTCCCCAGGGCTGACTGTGGCCAGGGAGGGCCAGGCAGACACAGGCAGGGTGCAGAGCAGGACGCAGTGGTTTTGGGTGTGGCAAAGGGCAGGGGGGCGTGGGCAGAAGAGTCAGGTAGGGGAGTGGGTCCTAGCTGCTGCAGGAGACCCAACACCAGGGAGCAGGGTGCACTGAGGCAGCGGAACTTCTGCTGTGGGGTGAATGTGGGACACAGACACAGTCACAGAGGTCATCACCACTGTGCCCACGTGGGAAGTAGCACACTGTGCTGAGCTGAATCTTGATGCTGTGTGGGAACCGCTGGCTCGGCAGAAGAAGGTACTTATTCTCCCTGCTCCTCAGTTTTCTTATTTGCAAAAAGGGGCTAATAATAGTGACCAACAGAGTTTCTGAGAGGATTAAATGAAAGGAAGCAAAGGGTCCCCACAGTGCTCAACCCATTGTAATCATTCCTCAGACAGGTGCTTAAGGGACAGGTGGAGAATAGGACGGAGCGGTGACCTCTTCTCTCCCCTCACCTTCTCTTTTCTGACCCCTGCTTTCATTGGTGGCAGTGGTAGCACCTCCTCCTGGCCACCTGGCTGTGGTCTGTGGGGGACAGACTAGGTCTGAGCCTTTCCTTCCCAGTGGGCATGTGGCCACATGTCCTCGGGGCTGTGGCTGGTGGGGGAGCCACACTGCAGGAGGGACAGAGGCCCTTCTCCTTCCTCTGAGCGTGCAGGGCCTGCTGCTACATGCACGGGTGGCTGGGGTAATTAATTTACGCTTTTCATCCTGCTTAAACTAATAAGCTCCTTTATCCTCCGTTGCTGAGCTCGACCTTCATGCTGGGCCTGCTGGAGACGTCATCTGGTACCCAGGGCAGGCTGATGTTCCCTGCTGGTGTTCGTATCCCAGCCAAGATCTTCAAGTCCCTGCACCCGAGGCTGCTT